TCCAGAGGGGTCTGGCTCGCTGGTCCCCCTGCCAGCCCTCAAAAATGGCACAGCCCACCCCTAGCCCCCTTTCCAAGCTCCCTTGCTTGGGCAGGGACCTCCTGAGCCTGGCATTCTCCCTCTTGAGAGGCGCAGATGGTATTCAGCAAATGCAAAGCAGAGGTTTCTTGGGCCTCTCACATCAACACCTCCCAGGCCAGGTTCTGTATTTCCCTGGAGCCCCACTCCTGCTATGGCCCCCTCCCCACAATGAGATATTCATGAGGCTGGTGTCTACAGCTGCTGCATACCCTCGGTTGCTGGGAGCCTTTGTCAAGAATGCCCAGGAATGGGGAGGGCACGGGACCCGGCCATCAGCAACCCTCACGCACTCTATAGTCCCACATTACTCAGAGCTTCCCCGTGCCCCAGCTGTATGAAGGACTAGACTGAATGGGCACCAGGGTTACCAGGCTGGCAGTGCCACCCAGGAAAGCAGGGAAGAGGCTATGTGGGCTACCTGGCCCACTCAGGGAGGAGGGCAGGACTGGGGATTGTCTTGACAGCAGCCCTGTCCCACAACACTGAACTGGGCAGGGAAGGGGTCATGTGTCCCCCCAACATGGGACTGGATTCCAGAGCATCGGACCGGGCTGCCAGAACTGGCCCTCTCCTTCCAAGGCACTGGGACCCTGGATGCCGGAGCCACGTGTGGCTGAGGGCTGGTGGAGCCTGCCCCCCAGGGAGCACTGAGTCCTGGAAGTGGTTGTTTTTGGGGAGGGGGCTATGGGACTCGTCCCACCTACCCCCTTCTTTCCAGCACTTACATGGCGCTTCCCTCTATTTTCACTCTTGGCGGCCGCCCCACACATTGCATTCCTCCTCCTTCTCACTGTCCTCCATCCTCCATTCCCTCCAACTCCTCTCCCAGCCCCTGGGGAGCCTACCTCAGGTCAGAGAGCCTGAACCCTGAGATACGCTGGGTGTGTGGATTTCCTTCAGCTACTCTGATGTCCCCACTTCCAAGTCCTGACTCCTTTGAGCCATCCCAGGGGGTGTCCAGTCACTGGACCACAGGAGCAGAGACCAGGCTGTGACTGTGTGACCATCAAGGTTTGTGATGTGTGTGACACATCACATGAGTGTGAGAGTGTGAGAATGGCACCAAGCCTGGGCTAGGACAGAAGCAGCTGGGGAAGGAGACTGAGGGCCATGAGCAATCTGATTTTTTATCCACCCCCTTACCACCCTACCCAGTCTAAACCAATGTGGTAGGGGTGGCTGCACGGGAAGAGATAGGAGTGTCTGAAGCCTACTTCACTCCCAAAGATTTCTAAGGAAAAGCATTCTGCATCCTCTGGCTTGGTCTTGTTGACCCATGGCCCTCTTTCAAGGACATTCACTCTGATTCCTAGTGTGCCCTGTTTCCACTGGCCACGTTCTCTAAGGAAAACAATAGCATCTGTTTTTGTTTCCAAATGGCTGGAGAGTGGGGCTGTGGGTCCAGCTCCCATAAACCAAAATGAGGCAGGGATTGGGGCTTGCCCTAGGATGTGGTAATGACCAACGGAGATGGGTAGAGGCAAGCAGCATGGTATTGGGCAAGACTGGGAGTCCAGAGATGCTGCTTCACCCTGGGACTTCAGGCAAGTCCCTTTCCCTCCCAGAGCCTCAGCATCCTTTCTATCAAATGATTTCTTTCTGCCTTTCTCCCAGGGTGGCTGTAGGGATTAAGGGAGACAGTGGTCATAGGGATGCTGTGTTAACAGCAGATGCGGCTGTAGGAGCACTTTGCTAACTACCAACGTGAGTTCAGACTCTTCAGGGTGTTTGGTACCCAGGTCTGTGGTGAGGTGTGACATATGGGATGTAAGGTTTGATGCCTGCTCCAACTCTTGTCTTACTAACGCAAGCAAAACATTTGGCAAGTCATGACCCTGCCTTGGGGAAAAGGGCAGTCTGGGAGAGAGCTCCTTCAAGGCAGCCTGGCTTGAATGCAGTCCGGGGCATGACTGAGATAGGCTTATGTGATGAGGAATTGGAGGGTATCTGGGTAAAGAGCTGCAGTGTGGGCAGAAGTTTAGTGTGGGACTCACTGAGGACAGCTACTGGCCAAAGCAGGGAACAGAGACAGAATGAGAAAGAGCTCTGTGGGGAGGGAGGGGCACAGGGTGGAGAACTTCAAAGTCCGAAGAGTATCACTTGTTGGGGCTCAATGCTGTAGGCAGTAGGGAGCCATGGAAGGCTCTTAGGTGGAGAAATGGCAGCTGAACATTAGCGAGCAAGCGCTGTCTCCATGAGCAGCATGGGTGGTCCTCTGAGCATGCCAGCATGAGTGTGCAGGGAGCTGGTGCAAATGCCTCTATGTGTGGGTGAGCTTCTGTGTTGTGACTTTGCCCATGTGTGTGCTTCAGTGTGCCGAGTGGCTGCATGCCCCAGATCTGTGCTGCACGTGCCAGCCAGTGAGGGTGCTGGGCACTGGGAGGTGGCAGGGAAGGAGGCGTATGCGTGTTGTGGGCATGTGTGTTAGCGTGTGCATGCCGGCAGTGGGGCCTCATAGCATGTGTGTGCGCACCCCGGCATGTGCGTGTGTGTGTCCCCCAACCCCAGGCCTGCCCCACCCATGCATGTGAGCTGCCATGTTGATTTGATGCTGTCTTTCAGAATCACTATCAGTGGCCCCTGAGGAGCATCAGCCATGGTAGGTACATGCCTCGCCGCCTGCTGCATGAATGGTGTTCCCGCCCCACTGCACCAGCTCCACACAGGGGCACACCTGGGACCTCAGATCCAGGCTCCCTGCCCCTCCTTTCTGGAGCTGCAGATTTGCTCTTTCCTCTTTCTGTCCTCGTGCTGTGGCTCCCTCACCTCCCTTCCCTGTGAGCCATGGGACTCAGCACCACTGCCCCTGGCCTCCATGGCTGAGCCTGGGGGCTCTTGGAACAGGCTCCATGCCCAAGCTGGCAGACATGGGTGCTCTCTGGAGCCATCAGAGAGGGCATACAGCTCATGGTTTATGGTGTAGGGGCTGGGAGCTTGGAGGGCGTTGTGTGGGGCTGGACTCTGAGGAGGCCAGAGGTCTAGGAACGTCATCCTGGGCATGCCATACCTGTCATGCCCAGTCTGAGTCATGCTGCCAGGGCCGGGCATCCAGCTCCCAGCCTGGGAGTGCCGAGAGCCGAATCCACTGCAGAGCAGCGGTGATAGTCAGGGTCCCACCTCCTCTATCTGTCGGCAATCCAGTGGTGATCTGGGATAAAATCTTGAGAGTCCCATACACGTGGTCATCCCACAACATACCTCACAGGCCAGGCAGGGACACACAGCCACCTTCCCATCCTCCCAGGTACCATTATAGCTGCTAGCATGTGACCGAAGGCAGGGTCCCTGGCCCCTGCTGAAGCATTACCACAGGCCAGTGGGCTCACACAACTTGGCCTGTTGCTTCTAGGGGTCTCCTGTGCTATTCAGCCAAGGGGATCACAGTGCCTGCTGGCCCAGCTGACCTCCGCCTAGTGAGCCCACCTGCCTCTCCTGCCATGGACTCTCCCTCTTCTGCTTTTCCCAGCAGGAAGGGCCCAGCCTCACCTACGAAACCTGTAGCATTCCCACCCGGCAACCAGCTGAGGCTCCCCTTTTAAGACTTACAAGTCTATGGCCAGTGGCATCCGGCTACCTGCCCTCCCTGCCTTCCCCAGGCTCCCTTCAGAGGACCCTGGTCTTTCTGACCACCCAGAGGGGCCTCTGGCACTCACTCCAGCCATCCATCCCTTATAGCTTCACCATTTTGGTTCAAGCAGTGTTCCTTATCAGGCCAGGTGGCAGTTGGGTGGGGCTCCCCAAGCAAGAGGTGGCCCTGGCCAGTGGGTTGGAAGACAGGGTGACCAGAGAAGAGAGAAGCCTAAGGGGGCTGAGCATTGGTCTGAACTGTGGGTGCACTGCCTGGGTGCCATGGGTGAGGCCAGCGTATGTGGGCTGGGGAGGGCTGCCTCAGCCCCCAGGCACTACCTGTGAAGCTCTGGCTCCTCCTTCCATCTTCCTCCCCTTTCCCTTCTGGCCCCTCTTTTCTAGGAACCTTTGCCACACCCGCACCTGTGCCCTCCCCTCCCCAGCCCTCTCACAGCTGCTGTGGCTCACCAGTGCTCTGAGCTTGCCTCACCAGCTCTCTGCTTGCTTTTATCTCTCCTGTTTTCTCTCTGCTTCTCTCTGACTGCCAGCTGATTGGGTCAGGCAAGTCCATCCCATCCTGAGAGCCCCAGGCCCCACTTTGACCTCTAAACAGATCCTCCTCTTCTCGGAGGCCTCCCTTTCCAAGCCTGCGGGGCAGGTGTCCTGTGACTTGACAGTAGCTCCCCAGCCCCAAAGCCAGCCCCCTTCATCTGTGGCTTAGTCTGTTGTAGTGCTGAGCTGACACATCCAGGTGTGACCGTTCCTGAAAACTTGTGCCCCCTCTGTGGTATGCCCTGCCCTGTTCTATAAATATCCATAAATACTCTGTGGTATGCCCTGCCCTGTTCTATAAATATCTATAAACACTCTGTGGTATGCCCTGCCCTGCTCTATAAATAGCTATAAATACTCATATATATATACACCCCTACACATGGCTGACCGCCTCGCCTCTAGCGCTGGGAATCAGTCACTGTGCTGTCCTTGTGGAATCTTGTGGCCCAACCAGAGAAAGCTCTCCCCTGACATTCCCCTCCAAGTTGCACCACCTCCAGTGAGCCTCCCTGTCATGCGCAGCCTGTGGACAGCCACCCTCCACCATCCCTCTGAGCCCCCAACAAGCATGGGGGAGCTGTGCAGGCAGCCGTGTGGACTGACAGTCTACCAGTTCTGCTGTCCCTCAGCTGAGAATCAAACCCATTTCTGGATGGCGGGGAATGTGTCCTCTGCTGGCTGTGTTCTCTGTGGAGCTCAGGGAGGGAAGAGGCCCAGCCATGTCTAGGGTGCTGTTGGGAGTGGTGAAAAGGCCACACCCTTTCCAAGGGACACTTTTCCGGGAAAGCCCCTGGAGCTTAGATGGCTCTTGTGCTGTGAAGCCTGCTCTGGTCACTAGGGTGCAGGGCGATGAACTCAGCCTGGAGGGAGCCCGTGGGGCAACCGGCACTCTGGAGGGACAGATAGAACTGGTCATGAGGTGCACTGAGGGACAGACAGAACAGGCCACCAGGTGCAGACAGGAGAGGGAGGCAGGGGGATGGAATGGAAGATGCCTGGGGTGGATGGAAGTCAGTGCCCTTGAGTGCTGGTATCTGCCTTCCCGGCCACCAGTAGATCAGGCTTCCGAGTCTGTTGGCTGTCAGGTCCTCACTGTGCCCCATAGGCACCATGGCAGTCCCAATGAAATCCACCAGGTGTCACCAGGCAGCATACAGGTAACAGGCCTGGAAGGTCCCCAACAGCTGAGCTGGACATGCTCAGACACTCTGGGGCTCCTCGTTCAGTGGCACAAACTCCAGGACCCAGTGAGGGAAACGGGAACCCACCAGGCTGAGCAGTATGGCTAAATCCATTTACTCCATAGTGAAAAGCAAAATAAACAGGAGTCATATCACCAGGGAGCCACAACCCCATCCCCACCTCCTTCCTCTGTCCTATGCTATCAATAAATAAGTCTCCCAGCCATAAATAATGATTAGAACCTCCTCCCCATATGCCAGCTCCAACCTCCATGAGGTACAATACAGGGGGTGGCCCTAAATCCTGGAATATACAAAATGTTACACAGATACTATACGTACACTGGGGAAGGAGGGCCACCCCAGTATCCCGTGCCCTCACCTGTTCTACACTTAGCCCCACTGACCCGCCTCAGCTGCCTCTGAATAAGAAGACGGGAGCTCCTCTGAGGGAAAAGTTGCTTTGGTGAGAGCAGGGAGGCCATCAGGCCTCCTCCAAACAAACCAGCTCCACTAGCCTCTGGTTCTTCAATAACAAACATCACCGTCCAGGAATGTAAGGACTCAGCCCTGGTCAAGGTGGGAAAGGGTCTGGTTGTCTGCCCCCCATTAGACAGGGATCTTGTCTTGCTACCCTAATGGTAAAGCGGTGACTGGGAAGGGGTGATAGGGACACGGTGGGGGTGAAGACTCCAGCCCTGCTTCTCCAGGCTTATGCTGACAGGGGCCTGCTTTTATTTATTTGTATCCTATGACTTTTTAAAAATCCTATAACTTCTTTTTCATAATACTATTTTTTAAACTTGTCATAAAGCGTTATTCTACTTTTTTTCACAACACTTTTTTTGGCCACAACTTTTCCACAACATTGTTTATCCCATAACTTTTTCATCCACAACTTTATCCCATAACTTTGGTTTGTGTTCTTCTAATAAACACACTTGCATAGTTACAATTTTGTAAAAATAAAAACTGATGATATCATGCCAAGCGTGCCCAGCATTTGCACAGTCTCAATACCTTTAACACCATAGTTTTCAAGACACACAACATTTTAAGGCAAAAACAGCACTTTGCAACAGTTTCCTAACTTATTGCATTGCAGTAGCATCACAGTAGCAGTCAATAATGGCACTTTCGACAACAGTCTTTCAGCATTTCCATTATACATTCTGTTGACAGGAATTCATAAATTGGTAAAAGTCATTTTAAGAAAACTCGGCAAATAAAGCTTGGCATTGGAATTGGCATTTCTTTCTCTACTTTTCCTTCCCCCAGGTTCTTTCTATTAAACTACAGTATTCACATTTTAACATGCTTTAACTTATTTCAAAACATTAAGATAGCAGTTATATTTTTGAATAGTGACTCTGTAAGATAAAGTTTTAGAGAAACTATATTATGGATAGGGCTGATGTACATTTTCACATTTTCTAAATATCAGCTTTGGTTTTAGAACTGATTTTTTTTTTTCATTTCTGGAAAACCTATCAGGTTTAATCAAAAACTTTAAAAATAATGACCATATATTGCAATCTTTAAATAGGTATTTTGATTCTTCTAACAGAAATTCAAATTTATTCAGTTGAACTCACATTTTCAAATTTTATATTTCTGATGATCTCTACCTTCTAATGTTGCCTTCTAAGCAAATTGAAAGCTGCCTTATACTGAATGAGGAAGAGAACAAATACTTGGCTGAATAAGGTATTGCAAAGACTGCATGCTTTGAAGAAACACTTGTTATTGTCATAGGATTTCCATTCTTTTTAGCTTTTTCTGAAACATAGGCCAAAATTCCTACATAAAGAGCGGTATTTAGAAACTGTACCACTGTTAATTAGCCACACTATTTGGTCTAACAGTTTTTCTTTATCATTCTGAAACTGGGTTTATCAATACGTTGATAAATTTACACAATTTGGAAGAGTCAGTTGAAGGACCAATATTTGCACTCTTTCAGTGAATGCAGGCAAATCTGTTATTTCATCTGTAAAATCATATTATTGCTCTCCTATTAATGTCATATTGATAAAAGTATCATGAGGATGCCAAATGCTAAAAATACAGATGGTCTAGTAAACTGGAATTGCACACCCCAGGGAGCGCACATACATCTCTCCCTACATCCTAATACTGTGATGTATTTTGGAACACAGACATTAGAACCTCTTGAAGTTTTAACTGTTGATTCTTTCCCAAGCATCATGAAGTTATGATTTAGGCAACATATGACTGAAATAATTCATTCATCCTGTATAGGCACATAACATAAATATGGCACAAAATATGCCTCTAACTGAAACCGAGTGGTATAAAACCATATTTCACTCTTTGTAAAGAACTTTGTGAGGAAATATAACTCTGTGATTGTATAGATACTTTTACTCATAATACTTTGACATTCACAAACAGTAGATTGCACTGCAGTTTGTAAACATTTTAAGTTGCATAAACTTCTCCTTGATTTTCAAATGTACTATAACACTGTCCACTAAAACTGCTTTTTGTTTCAACGAATACTCTCACATGTATTAGTTTATTAAAATGGTTGTTATTATTATTATTATTATT